TGTGTGTGTGTGTGTGTGTGGATGTCGCTTTTTGATACATTCGACTTTGAAGTAGCCTTTCAGGCATCGTGAGAGGCCTTGTTGGAGATCTGCTTGGTAGAAATAGTCAGTGTCTTAATGAGACGAGACCACAGTCCAGAAGCTGGCTCATCTGGTAGGCGGAAAAGGGGCGAGTATCATTAGTTGAGGCCTTGAAAGGTAAAATAGGGGCGTGGTTTGCTTGAGAAGAGGATTTAGTAACGCCGACAGGTGAGGCCGAGACATAAGAGGTCCTGTTCCCGAGATAACGATCAGCCCAACTGCCTGTTGTCTGATGGCAGTGAGATCTTTACGACAAATCCCTCCTCCCCACGGTTGGTCGCGTCCCAGCCCCTCCCGCTTTCGACAGGGGACCATAGGTTCCTAAGTTCGTGACCCGCCCCTGGCCGGGGCCTGCACCAGAGGTTAGAGGGCAAGACGAAGTGAGGGATGTCGGAAACTGTGAATCAGGAATCCACTGTAAAGGCATGTCTACGAAAGTGGGCCTAGACAAAAGGGAAAAAGGAGGAAAAGAAAGCATCCTATTAGGCATATATCCACACGGCCCGAGCAGGGTAGATAACATCTTCGTCACCAATGAACTTTTGACACTGATTAGGTGATGGAGGCAAGTTAGGAAATGACAAACGGCAAGATGATAGACAGATGGAATCGACGGTAAATGGACGAATTGTGGACGAAAAGTGTGAATTATCGGTAATTTTTGGTAGTTTCTGTTGTGATTTGTCATTTTTCCAATTCCTAAATGAGCGATCTTCTTCATAACCCTTTGGGCTCGGTTCATTTAGAGTCTCAAGTCAGACGCCAAAAGTCATATTTATTGCCGTTTTAGCTTGTTGACAGGGCCTGTGTTCGCAATGATATACAGGCATGCCGTTGTGACCAACTCACCATCTACGCTGCGGATTGGATTGTCGAGCCAATCGTAAAATCAGATCCCCTCACTTCGCTGACAATGCCATTTACGTCACATGCGCTAATTTGTCTTTTCCGTCCAAGGAACTAAGGTGGTGCAAAGTTAGTCCATTTTCGCAAAATGCCTCAGTCTGGTCGAGAGACTAGTTAGGCGAATATAAATGGTGTGTTTTTCTCAAACTGTCGGTTCCTCCGCCCAGAGAGTAGGCCTGGGCACAGGAACTCGAGGGGATGCAAGATAGGGGACACATGAAACATAGCACTTTAACCAAAGCTATTTACGGCTCTTTTTGGTCTTCATACCTCTGTCCCGACGGTGTCGTCATCAGCGAACCTATAAATATCTTGTTCCGGTCGGTCTGGTATATGCCCATCATGTGAATGTAGATGGAGAATTGCTATGCTCTAAACGAAGCGGCGGACAAACAATGCGAGTTAGGCAAAAAGGCACATGTAAAATAGGCTATAGGGTAGCAGTAGTATTGATAGTAGTGTCCGCAGCAAATGATATACGATCGAGGCATACTTGTGATGGATTTCTGGCAATGCCTTAGACCATCTGACAGTGCCCATCGACAGGTGCCTTTATGACCCAAACAAGGTTTTTTTCTTAAAAGTCACTTGTCTTATTACTTTCTGAGAGTAGCTCAGCCTTTCTGACGTCAAACTATAAGTTGCTAGGTAGACATGCACATATTTAAGTATGATTTTTACGTACTTTGGAAAATTGTTGTAAAAAAGATGACAAATAAGCCTCGTCAGGTACAAATATAGGATGGTTTCTGGTCTGCTGGTCATACATTTGGGAATCTATTGGTTATGCGCATCGGAATATCCTTCGAGGGAAGACACGCTTAGAAACTCTCTTGCAATTTGCTTTCAAATAAAATTTATTTCTTATGCTAGAGATTAATTGACTTTCTACCAGAGCTCAAGAAAAAGGCAAGAATTAATTTCATTCATTGTTTAAAGCTCGAATTCCAGGCATTATCAATACAAAGCACCACAAACTAAGACCGGATACAGCTATGGATTCTTTGTTGAGCTTACTTCCATTTCGGGTGAAAGTGTTGCGTGAAAGATTCGAAGGTCGGTTCCACCAGAAGACGACGGTGGATTCCTCTTGACCAGCTGGAACATTCATGATGACACTGTCTCCGAGGCAATCTCCTTCGATTCCGCTGAAAAGTTGCTAAGCCTTCCTCCGTCATATGACGAATATCGTCGGAGCAAGGTATCATCGTCACAACAAAATTCAAGCTAACAATCAG